TTTTTTTTTTTTTTTTTTTTTTGCGCTGGGGCTGCCTGGAACCCTGCCCGCTGGTCATTCCGGGCGGGCACCCGGGCGTATTGTTGATGAAGCACCACCCCACATGGAAAGAATGGGAAGACCGGAAATGCAGTACAAATGTAGGTTTCAGTACCAACGCCCCGAAGAGGATAGATGGTTCCCACATAATGAACTCGCTGAGACTCCTCCTAGAATCGTGTGTCACACTTTGAGCAGACAGAGCTTGCTTTTTGTATTCAAAAAAAAAAAAAAAAAAAAAAAAAAAGACTGGCATAAGAGCTATAGATGGGCTAAGACAGTTGGAGGAACTCGAAAGTACTACGCCAACGGGAGAAAAGGGATTTCACAGCCGCTGCCCTGATCCAAGAAGTCCCAGTTCCAGTCCCAAGTCCCAGTTCCGTTGTCAGTCTCTGTCGCATGAATCATATTCACGAAGTCCTCTGCTGGTTTGTGTTTTTCTTTGTCTTAATTTTTTTAGAAACGTATACGGCCTTGAGATATTGTCATGCAACTGACCGGCCCTACGGTCTTCACCCGAATAAAACGCCTGATGCTGCATCCGTTCTGAAAAATGGCCCAAAAATGCAGCCATAATGACCGGCCGTTCTATTCGGGTGAAGACAGTAGGTATTCAGAATTGTAGTCTTTTTCTCATTTATTTCCACTGGAGTTTGAACTCAGCACCTGGTCTGTATTTCACCAGTTCAGGGGTGTACCAACTGAGCTAGGCCAGTTGGTTCTGCTTGTTAGTGTTAGTATTTGGCCGTAGTCCAGTTGATGTAGCTCAATGGTTAGCACCGGTTGGAAATGCACATTGTGGTATAAGGTTGCGGGTTCAAAACTCAATTGCAGCCTTGCGCATGGACACTGGCAGGGCGTTAGAATGACGCACGGCTGGACACACACCCCCTTGGGCTGACGCACGGCTAGACACACACCCCTTGGGCTGACGTACGGTAAACTTATACAGACACTGCCTGCGCACAACCCAAGGGGTTGTCTATGGTGCTGTATGTCGGGTCTTGATACTGCGTGGGTTGCTTGTGGCTGTTGCTCGCCGTTGTTCTGTTGATCTCCCCGGTGTGGCATATCATACACAGGGGCCGTTTGCGATTGTTGCTCAAATGGTAGAGTCTTCAGGTCACATGTCATAGATCACGGGTCCAAGTCTGGCTTGGGACTTTGGGGGGGGGTTCTTGTCCAGCTTGGCCTGTCATCTCTTCAAAAATGAACACACAGTTCCCTCTACATAGTACTGCACATATCTGGCCTTCGGGCACACATATCTCGCTATACAGTTACACAGAGCACACATAGCCTTCCGGCAGACACAAAAACATGGCCCTATGGGCCCATACAAACATACATAGCCTCTGGCCACACACATATACACACAACTATGATACTGGGCTGGGGGGGTCTATCAGGTATATGATGCGGTCTACGCATGCATGGCTTAGCTCTAGGGTAGGGTACGTATATAAGTCGCTCCGGCTAGTCTGAGTTCCGCCTAGCCTTGGGTAAGATAGGGGAAGGACGGAAGGATGTGTCCACGGGCGCTGGCCTGCCTTGCTTAGGTAATCCTGCTGGGTAGACTCTCTGAATTGGGCCTGTAGAAGATTGCATGAGCCTGGCGTCCGAAGTTCCCGTACGGCAAGGTTCGTCCGCTTCTGCTTCCATCAGGGCTGGGAGGTTGGCCCAGCCCTGGTGCTTGTCACTGCTGTCTGGTCCAAGTTGCCCTCAATACTGTAGGGTGATGGTCCTGAGTGCTGGTCACACTGAGGTACCATAGTAGGGACAGGGGGTGCACTGGGAGTATTAACGTGGGGATAGAAAGGGTAGGTGGCCTATCCTGTCAGGACAACCATTGGCTGCCGCTACCAGCTATCACCGCGGGTCTGGTCCTTGGCCTCAACAACACCCTGGGCCTTTTTTTTTTCTTTTTTTTTCTTTTTTATAAAAAAAAGGAAGATTATGGTCGGTACCGGCAGGGGTAGGGAAAAAAGTCTGTAGAAGTAGTTATACTCTATAGCCGAAACCGGGTAATGGGCCCGGTATCTCAATTTGTTCATAAAATGTCTTCATATGGGACGCTGGGCCCAATCCCAGCACGTGCTGCTCCCCACCAATAGATTGGAGCACGTTACAAAAAAAAGAAAAAAGAAAAGAAAAGGTCGGCTTAGTTCGTCAAGTCCAGTCAGCAGCAAAGTCCCAAGAAAGCCCGCAAAGTGCCGGAAGCAACATACATCAGCAGGGTACCGGACCAAAAACCGGTCGGGAAGAGTCAGGAAGGCAAATTGTGGACGTTGTGACCACATTCACTTGTGAATCAATGCGGAAGTGCTGCTGTGCTATTTTGGGACGATGCGCAGTGCGCTGATACTTCGTTTTGTTGTTAGCATAGGTAGTTGATGGCGCTGGACGCCATAGCTAGGTTCAGTACGAGATTGCATGAGTGAGAGAGTCGTATTCAGAGAGGCGAGACTCGGGTTCAAGGAGCAAGCGATCATACCTACGCAAGCTCGTTGGCAGTCATAGCCGCACTTCTTGTACAAAGACAATTCTGTATAATTGAGTTGATTGGCGGGTACTATCTTTGAGCCACATAACACGTGCTTTGGTGTGTGTGTGTGTGTCATCCGCCGTGTGGATGGAGTGAAAGTGTCATGGGTGGTCAGTCTCAAAGCACTAGACTAAAGTTGCGCAAATACAGCAATAAATGACTGGGCGTTCTATTCAGGTGATGATGATAGTGACCTCGGGACAAAAAAGAAAGCCGAGGATTGGATTGGTTCTGAGAACTTCTGACCAACAAAGGGTGGGCAAGGGCTATGCGACATTGCGAGGAGATTGTCCATATTCATTTCAGTAGGGAAATGAAATCAGACTCGTCTTCTTCTCACTTCGCATGCATGCAAACAGAGGGCAAAACAATCTGGCGCCAGGCGCCCACACAAAGCTCAGAGATAATATGGCCGAGAACACAGTTCAGATACAAACTCGCTTCCAACGGGCTATGGCGTCTGAGCGCCCACACATCATCTGTCCAACGCTGTGTTCACGGCGACTGTTCACACGCACTCAACCCTGGATCTCCCTGGATATCTCAAGCACACACACTCTGTATCACACACACACACACACACACACACACACACACACACACACACACACACACACACACTCTTACTAACACCTATCACTAGCTATGGCAGCTATGTCCGCCGACTATCACTGTCTATAAGCAGCGATGGCTGCTCTGACTCCGCCTCAGCCCACTTTGATTTCGGGCAATCTGCAGACCACCTCGCACAAGACGCTAGGGCAGCGCGTCCGCATGGCTCATGCAGGAATGAATGAATGGCTGGATGCTGCCTCTTGATTTATACTCCTCTTGGCCGCTGGTCTGCCCCTTTTCCACCGGGCCCCTGGTGCACACAGTCCCAGATGGTACTTGCTGACTGGACAAATTAAGACTGGGACTGGATACCGCTGACTAAGCAAAGTTGGACTACCCACTTGCCCACTTGCCCACTTGCCTCTAGTCTAACGTGAGAAAAACTCGAAAGGCCACTTCCGGCCTTCCGAAGTCTGTGGACTTGGCCTTTCGGGACTGTAGCAGCTACGACCTTGACCTTTCAGGACTGTAGCAGCTACGAGTTGACCTTTCAGAGTTACAACTACTATGACCCCTACACAGGTATGACCCCTACTTCGACAGGTCTACAGTTCAGGACCCGACAGCTACACAGACCTACGACAGCCTACATTCCACTACCAAAACACAGGTCGCGGGTTCAAAACACACGGGGTCGACTTAATACTGTACATGGGTGAGGTAAGGTCTAGGGATCGAACCCTGGGATCTGCATCTGTCACTGCAAAGGTGAAAACCGTTTCAGAAACACCCGTCACCATATCCCTCAGAAGAGTCACAATAGCTGTGAGGATAACTGGTGGTGGTTTGATTTTCTTCCATGCAAGACTTAGAGAGAAAGATGGGGAGAGGGGAGGGGATTCAGGCAACGACTGACCAACATACAACCAGACAGACAGACAGACAGACAGACACACACACACACACACACACACACACACACAGAGAGAGAGA